CATATTATTAATAACAGTTATGAGATCATATAATTGTGAATGTATATATGAAATTGATAAAATAAAAATAAATAAATCTCGCCAGGCTCAAGGTTGACGCCGCCTTCCATCCTTCCGAGGTGGGTAAAGCGAGGACCCAAATTGTTGGGGACAAGAGGCTGACTCTGTAAGCCGCTTAGAGAGGGCTGTAAAAGCACCACGAAGCGGTATATAAGTCTAAATTCCATTGCTATTTTGAAGACAACAAAGTCCATATTTGGGACAGAGAGGATTGCTGGTTTGAAAGAGAGGTTAAAGAGGACGTATAGGTCAAAATTAAACAACGCTTGGGGAGCAAAACTATGATAAATCTAGACAGCATCCTAAAAAGCAGAAACATCACCCTGCCAACAAAAGTGTGTATAATCAAGGCTTATGGTTTTCCCAATTGCAATGGACGGCTGTGAAGTTTGGACCATAAGGAAGGCTGAGCACCAAAAAATGGAGGCCTTTGAACTCTGGTGCTGGAGAAGACTCCTGCATTGAGTCCCTTGGACTGCAAGGCCATCCAACCGGTCAGTCCTAGAGGAGATCAACCCTGACTGCTCTTTAGAAGGTCCTAAATCCTGAAGAGGAAACTCAAGTACTTTGGCCTCCTAATGAGAAGGAAGGACTCCCTGGAGAACAGCCTCATGCTGGGAATGATGGAGGGCAGAAGAAGAAGAAGGGGACGACGGAGAATGAGGGGGCTGGATGGAGTCACTGAAGCAACAGGCGTGAGCTTAAATGGATTCCAGAGGATAGTAGAGGATAGGAAGGCCTGGAGAATGTTGTCCATGGGGTCGCGATGGGTCAGACATGACTTCGCAACTAACAACATCATATCATTATTAAACCTTCAAATAGATTACAACAGGCTGGCTGGGGAATTCTGGGAGTTGAAGTCCACACGGATTGAAGTTGTCAACTTCTAAAAACCCTTGCTTTATGACATTTATTTTAATTAAAAATAAATCAATCAGTGTGTGTGGTATATTAGCTATGCCCATTTCAGAGACTTGTTCAGAACTGGGGGCAGCGAGAACTCACTTTCCTAGAGTGCCTCTGCCTTTGGGTTGGTTTTTCAGCCACTTCCAGAGAGGATGAGCATTATCCCCATTGACTTCAACCTTGCTAAACATGTCGAATTTCACCCCGTAGCTTTCAGCAAATGCTTTAATTTCTTCCTCGGTACCGGGCTCCTATTAAAAAACAAGACCAAAAGGGAGACAGATGGTTTTTAGATGGTTAAGCCGATTTAAAACAGTTGTCCTCAGCTTTCAGTCTGTTTAAGTTGCAGATCCAGATGTTTCTGAACTGCGCTCGCTCACCATTTACGGTGAACCTATCAATGCATCATGTAATGAAGGTTTGAAGATTCTTTTTAGCCAGCTTGTCATAGATTCTTGGCTGTTTTCCCACTCCTAATCCAGTATCTTCCCCATGTATGTCACACTGGCTGTCTCCTCTCTGGGGATAGAATTTGGGTCTCCCCAGCCCTAGTCCAGCCCCTTCTCTACTCCTTGATTGGCTGTTGGATTGAGAGGAAGGGACTGGCCCAAAGTCCACCAATGAGTTCTGCATTTGAGAAGGGGACTAGAACCCCTCCTCAGGTGCAGATGTGGGTCTCCTCACATCTCATCCATCCCTTCCATAATTACTCTTGGCTCTTGGGTGGAGATGGAAGGATTGGCCCAAATTCAGCCAATGGGATTCCATGGCTGAGGGGGATTGAACCTGCGTCTCCCATTCCTTTTTCCAGCCCCTTCTGCATTATGCCTGATTGGCTCTTTGCTCGGATGGACAGACTGGCCCAAATTCAGCCAATCAGCTTCCATGGCTAAGGGAGAAAAACACCTGGGTATCCTCACTCCTAGCCCATCACTTTCCCCACTGTGTCATGTTGGTTCTCCTTAGAGCAGGGGTTCTCAACCAGGGGTCGCCTAAGACCATCAGAAAACACATATTTTCGATGGTCTTAGGAACTGAAACACCAATTTTATGGTTGAGGGTCACCACAGCACGAGGAACTGCATTAAAGGGTTGCGGCATTGGGAAGGTTGAGAACCACTGCCTTAGAGGATAATTGTGTGTTGGGGGGGGGGAATCATTTCATTGAGACATTAACATACACACATACACACAAACAACCCCCCTCCCCTTTCCTACCTGCTTGCCAAACTGGTTGCAGGGGAAGGCTAGAATGCGTAAACCTTTCTCAGCGTATCTACTATACAGTTGGACAAACTGAGTGTAGTTTACGTCAGTCTTGCCTCATTGGGAGGCCACGTTGGTGATGATGCAGACGGTGCCCCTGGAGAGAGAGACAGAAATGCAGAAATGGATAGATTAAGACTTAAAATTAAGGAGAAGAAACAGAATATTTTTTTAACGTGGGATTTGTTTTACCAATGGCTAACTGACAGAAACAGAAGTTAGAAATGTAGAAGCTTAAGAGAATGATTAATTATATAAGGAAGGTTTATTCGTGAATAAGTACATATTACTATTGTGTGATCATTATCAATGTTATGAATATCATTATTACTGTTTCTCAAAATTAACTATACCCAGACAACACACTGTTCATGTAGACATTGAATTTTTTGTTTATTAAAAAAAGTATTTTATATACTGTATGTGTGTATTTATGTATGTATGTGTGTGTGTGTGTGTGTGTGTGTGTGTATGTATGTATGTATATGTATGTGTGTGTGTATGTATGTATGTATATGTATATGTATATATATATTTAAAGTCACAACCCCTGGTATGCCCAAATATGGGAGGAAGGTCACACTTCCACTCTCTGTCTTCGGCTCGTCACAAGAGACCATTCAGACAGAAACCCAATATTTTTTACTGTTGCCTTTTTGTTACATTTGTTACATTTGTTATATTT